GGTTAAGAATAATGACAGAAACCTCTCACCTTCTTGTGATGGGCCCGTTGTTGGTTCTCAGATATCGACTGAAGAGGATTATTCAGGACTTTTCATTCAAAAAGTAAATTATGTTTGTCTAAAAGAAGAAGTACCCGATAGAAGGTTCAATTATTTTATCCATTCATCTGGAAGATATATTATGAGGCCGACATAGTGTATGCCAGTTAACCAACTGTCAACCAATTATCAAGTAGCATTCCTTCTGAACTTATAAAGGAAAAACCATGCTGGGAACTCAAGAGATGTACTAAACAGACTCTATGTTTAGGACTCGCATAAACAAATTCAAGAAATAGACAAACAACATTACAGAGGCTTCAGTACATGTGTTGGCAAAATAGCAATGCTTTCATTCAACTCCCACTGAGGGAACAAATCTTGAGAATTTTTTTTGTACACACCGCTCAAGAGCTCTGTATTAGGTTTGCATTTTTAAACGCCGGCGTCAATGGCAGGAAAATAAAAACAAACCACGAGACAGTAGGGCTTGTTTGCCTTGGATATCGCCAGACTGGCATCAGAATCTCTCAATCTTTTTTTCCAGGAATTAATCAGTTACTTCAACCCCTGCTGTTTGAGGAAGTAAAGGATACCGCTCTTCGTGCAACATGTTCTCGATGGTGAGCCGGCTCTCAAGGTCCATGTTGTCAACCGTCCAATCGCAAACAGGAACGCCGAACTGTTATCATAAAAAACGTATAAAGATGCTAAATAAAGCAAACAAATGCTGAAAGTTTGCAAAATTGAGCTAAAAAACGAGCCGTTCAAGATGCATGGATTTTCGGTGGACCCTAGCAGGTCCAAAGGTAGTCCAATGTAACATGATCAGAAAGGAGTCCGTTGGAATCAAATGATCTTCTCTAGTCCTCCTTCTGTGTAATAACTTCAGAAACTATTTCTACCCATTATTTCTGTGTGAAAAAAAGTTGAAATACTGCGGTGCAGCACAATGGGTGACCCCTAGTGTAAAAACCGCTTCACTGG